GGGGGGGGGGGGGGGGGGGGGGGGGGGGGGGGAGAGAATAGAAGCCAGATGGAGAAAGGGAATGTGTGAACCACCCACTTAAAAGACGTTCATGGGTGAAGAAACCGCTCCCAGAAGGTCAGACACTTCCTCCAAAAGTTTATTTCTGAGGCATCTGCGCCCCAGAAAGTATCCCAGGGCCTCCCCAAAGCTGAAGATACTCGCTACACACTTTAGTTCACAGGTACATAGGTGGGTGGGTGGGTGGGGAGAATCCGAGCAGTTATGCCAAGCCTATTTTGGGGCTCGGTGCATTATGAGGCATCCTGGGTGCTCCCTGAACCTGGTTTGTTTTCTTGCAGACGTTTCATGACCCAAACTAGGTAACATCATCAGTGCTAGGAGGAGAAGGATGACAACTGTGGAGTCCTTGACGCTCCCTGAACCTGGTTTGTTTTTTTGCAGACGTTTCATGACCCAAACTAGGTTACAGTAATGAAGTTTCCTAGTTTGGGTCATGAAATGTCTGCAAGAAAACAAACAAGCTCAGAGAGCACCAAGGAGCCCACAACCCTCCTCCTCCTGCATTCCCCAAACCCCACTTCCTTCTAGCACTGATGATATTACCTAGCTGGGTCATGAAACGTTTGCAAAAAAAAAAAGAAACAACCAAGTTCAGAGAGCATCATGGATCCCACAGTCCTCCTCCTCCTCTCCCTTGTAGCACTGATGATGTTACCTAGTTGGGTAATGAAACATCTGCAAGAAAACTACCAAGCTCAGAGAGCACCAAGGACCCCTCATTTCAACCCTGACCTTCAAATATTCTCCTTCCTTGGTCAGTGCATTATCTTAAAATAATTTTGGAGTGGGCCAGTAAGGCAGCCCATTTTCAAACTTCAAAGGGCTCTCGGGAGAGATGGTACACACCCTGGAAATGTGTTATCTCGCCCTCCTGGCTGCCAACTGGAGATGGGCATCTCCTTTCCCACCCCAACTTCTCCGTGCTGATTGTTTCTAGAACCATCTTGACACCATGTTAAATTGGTCTTACCTGATTATGACTGAAGAAGAGCAGAGCCCCCGAATACATGAGCTCTCTGGCTTCCGCATGTTTGCCCTGCGACATGTACCTGTAAGTGGAAAAGATTTTTTTTAAAAAAATTACAGCAACAGGAAGAAGGAAAGGTAACCACAATGCACCATGAAGGGACAAGCTCCGAGAGGCCTGGGAACTTCATACGGAGCCCATTTCAGAACTGCAGGAGGCAGAACAAGGAATCACAGCTTGCAGAAGAGAGTTGGGTAAATCTGTTGGATCAGAATAAATAGCCTGCCTCTCTCAGCAAACCAGGTTGCTCATTTACCTCTTAGCGGAAGGTAATACGTGGATTTGAGCCCTGTTTTTTTTTTTTAAAAAAGACCCTTCTGAAGAGACAAGGTGCTATTGCCATGGCTCTTCTTCATAGACGCAGAGGAAAGATGTTACGCCCCTGTTGGAATCTGATTCGGAGGGCGAGGCCAAGCAGCTAAGAGGGAGTGGGTATTGTGGCTCCATTGGCTGTGGAAGAATCTGGGGTAAAGTCCTGCTGGGCAGAGCAGGGGAGAGGTAGAGCAAGGCAGAGGGAATTTGGAGGAAGACCCAGGCCCACCCACTCTTCATCCAAGGGCACGCAGGGAGGTATGTAGAAGGGAACAATGTGGGTTGTGTGGCTTACGGGGGAGGAAAGGGCCCTGATTCCCTTCATTAGCTGCAGCTACATGGTTTGAAAAGGGAGGTTGCACACAGCAACTCGTGGGGGAAGCAAATCTGAGTTATCTTTCGTGACTGAGGCTTATCTGGGTTCCTGGCATCTTCCCAACTGTGTTTTGTTGGCCTTTGAAGTCTGCAATTCCTTATCCTGCTCTGTCCAGTTAATTGCTGCAGCGGGGTTTGTGTGGATTTTTAGTTACAGTTTATATGCACTTTGTTTTCAGACTGAATTTCCTTCATTTAAATACTGTTTTGGGGAGAGTTTTTTCTCCAGCCGAAGGTAACTGGGCATTGGGGGAAAAATTGGAGGTATTAAAGGGACTTTTCTTACTTATGTGACTGTGTTGCCTTTGTGCCACGCCCCGGGTCATCAAAAAAGATGTGATTCCTGTCCACCAACCAGGAGATAAAGAGCTAACTCTCAAGGCACTAGAGTTTCTCAACCTGCCCCATTTAAAGATAGGTGGATGACAACGCCCAGAATGCTGAGAGTTGATGTCCACACCTCTTAAAAAGTGGTTGAGAAACACTGCACTGGGATGTCCATATTCATCACAACAAAGTGAACCGCAATATTTACAAAACCTCCTTCCGAACTGAAACTTGGCTGTTTGGTAGAATCTCTAACTTTGCTACTGAAAATAACTGATTTCTTTAGGTAACTTTTCTCCCTGCAAGGCTGAAGGCTGCAGCGGTCAAGATCAGCGTGGGAGGGGAGGAAAGGAACTTCCTATATTTTTTTTGAAGGCCAGTGAAGAATTGGGACCCTCAATTCGGGACCAGGGTTTGTCGAACTGCCTGTTTCCTGTCCCTGGAAAATTCAAATTCTCCAAGCAGCTCGGCAAGGCTACAATAATACTTCAACGACGACACCTATAGGCAGTCTTCGGCTTACAACCACAAACTGATCCCCACATTTATGTGGTTAAGTGAGACCCTTGCTAAGTGAGCTTTGCACCCTGTTTTACCAGTTTTCTTGCCGCAGTCGTTAAGGGAAGCACCGCAGCTGAAAAGCTCGTAACCCGGTCGCTCAGTGAATCCGGCTTCCCCAATTGATTCGGCTGGTCAGAAATTCAGAAAAGGGGAATCACGTGACCCAGCAACGGTTGTAAGTATGAACCTGTGGCCAAACATCTGGATTTTGATCGTGGGCAGGCTGCAAAGGTTGTAACTATGAAAAACGGTCCTAAGTCGCATTTTTCAGTGCCGTTGTAACTTCGAACAGCACTAAGCGAACTGTTGTAAATAGAGGACTACCTATATCGTGATGGGGCTGCCTCTGTACTGTTGCTTGTCCCTCTCAAACACCAGGGCAAGGTGATGCACGGGGGCAATTAACAGATGCTGAAAGTTGACATCACAGCAAGCCAAATCATCTGACAACTCCAATGGGTTTTCATACGCTCAGCCGTAAAATTGGCAAAGGGCTGCAGAGAAGTGACTGCATTCACTTCAGGGTGCGTTCTCTTTCTCCGTCTCTTGGCACGCGGCTCCAAGGAAGCTCTGGCTGGATGGAACATATGCCCACATAACTGTGCTACTGTTATGGAGGGAAGGGCAGGAGGAGACACACCAAATGGTCAAAAACAGGAGGACCGGAGAGGATTTGCAGCCCGAATATGTTTGTGGAACTGCTGCTTGGACACACCCTGAGACAAGTTAAGAGCCTGTTTCGCCACAGAATCAGTCACATTTGTTCTGCGCACTGCACGTGCACTTCACATCCCTGCAACGATGTACTTATTTACACAAGGGATTATAATCCGTGCAATTTTTAGCTCCAGGGATTCTAGAGTAGCAATGCCTCAAAAGCTTTTACAGACCAGTGATGGAGGACTACGATATTTCTCTTTTGACTTAAGCCTTTAACTCTCTATGCCCAGGCCTCTAGAATGAGGGAGAAACGTAGAAAGGTAGTAGTTCCAAGGAATGAGAGGATTTAGAATCCCATCTGTAAAAGTTAGCAGGAAGAGTATCACAACTCTTTAAAAAAAAGCAGAGAGAAAAAAATCTAATTGTGTCCATTGTACTACTAACAAGAAGAATTTCTAATGGAGCCAGCTTTAATCCTTTAATCACCCTGCTGATCAAAACCATGTTTTTTTTTGTTTCTCCTTCTGTTTCCCACAACGTATCTTTCTGAAATATACATATATTTAAGCTTCCCAACAGATTCCTTTTGCTCATTCTCAGCCCAATAATCAGAGAGCTATGCGTTAACAGGCAACAGTGCCACAAAAACTAAGCAGGAAAGATTATGGAAAGATTATGAGATTATTGTCACTATTTCAGTCATCCCTGCTTTTATTTCCAAAATAAAGACGGCCGTAATTTTCAAGGGGGGAGAGTCCACTTTTGCTACTTAATTCCAATCTTCCCATATTTCTTACACACCAACGCCTCAACTTTAGGGCCACGCGCAGAATAAAATTGTTTGAACAATATCCCGTGAAACCAATCTCAGCCAGGCAGGAAATGGCATTTTGCCTGTTCCAATCAGTTCCAAGGTACAGAATTACTCGAAATCAGCACACAAAATGCGTTTTGTCATGTTCCATTTAAAGGTCACTCAATTCCCCTAATTTGGCGCAGAATGTGTGCAGTGCATACCATTACAACTCAGATCACAGGTTAATAATAATCTTGACACTTAAGCATTTAAACAGTGAATATATAATTCACTGCTGCTCGGGGATATTGAGACAGCTGAGGACACCAAGGTGATTTTTGTTTTTTGGTCTCAAGTCAGAAGCTCATGTCTTTTCAGAGCTCTGTTTTAGGAAAGTAGGGAGCGTTAATGAAAAGAAAAAGGAAAAAAAAACAAAACCAAAGAATAGCTGTCTCCAAAGTAGGCTGGGAATATATTCCCCAGAACTTCCAATTAACAAAGACGGCGACCAACATTACCAAGAAAATACAAAATTAGGGAAAGGAGGCTAAAAAGTAACGTTGAACTTTACAGGCAAGTAGTCCTCGACTTACAATCACAATGGAGCCCCAAATTTCTGGTGCTAAGTAAGGGGATTTTGCCCCATTTTGTGACCTTATTTGCCATGGTTGTTAAGTGGATCACTGCCCTTCTTACATTAGTAACACGGTTGTTAAGTGAACCTGACTTCCCCATGGAGTTTGCTTGTCAGAAGGTCGCAAAAGAGGATTACGCGATCGTCATAAATATGAATCAGTGGCCAAGCACCTGAATTTTGATCACGTGACCGTGGGAGGCTGCAGGGGGTTGTTAAGTGTGAAAAATGGTCATAAGTCACTTTTTTCAGTGCCGCTGCAACTTTGAACAGCCACCGAATGAACTGTTGTAAGTTGAGGACTACCTTTAGGACTTTAGATTCTTGGATCTTGCTTAGAAGAACAAACACAAATGCTACAGCTATTGTTGTCCTTTAACACATCACAGATGATACCACACAAGAAAAGCCAGTGTTGTCCAAACTCAAATGCTTTTTTATCAGACTGGCTACAATGAGGCCTACTAATTATTTGACTGCCAGCACCAATTCAAAATAATTTCAGAAGTTCAACAAAAGAGAAGCTGGTATCACTCAACAAGAGGACCCTGAGAAGCCAACTTTCCAACCCATATCAATATTCAAGAGGGATTTTGGAATCTTTTTTTCTTAGACCATAAAAAAAAATCCTGTCTTTTCAGTCAGACCACCAGGTAGATAACCATACCCCGTTGGACTCTGGTTAAAAAAAAAAAAAAAAAAAAGCTGCTGGTTTGGAAAAATTACTTCCAGAAACCACCAACCCAAACGGTATGATTTGGAGTTCAAATATTTTGGAAGTTTTGACCTATCCCTACTATATTTTCACTGAATTTACTGTCAAACTTTTGCCCTGTTGCTGATTCCTAACAAGTTTTCTTCTATTTGGTGTGACAGTACAATGACTTTTGGATTCTTAATCCATTTTTCAGCTTTCTACCAACCCATCCATTTAGAATTTCAAAAATGTCCCTTTTTCTACAACTCCTTTCACTCCATAATGAATGCAAAATGTGTATAATTATCCATGGTCTTAATCTTATGCGAATGACAAAACAATAAAGAGCATGCAGACAGAAGTTTCAACTCTCTTCCAGGTTCATCAAAAGTCCAACCACAAGCATTTTTATGACTACTTAGGCTAACCTGTATAATGGACGGTTGTGGAGACTTTTAACAGCACAAAGGGTGTTATAATTAGGTGCCTTGTTGTTATTTGCTATTGTTGCATATAATAGGTTGACTGACCGCTGTCCCAAGAGAAGGACGCTAAATCTGTCATAACACAATCCAAGAGTTCGGAACACCACGATCCCAATTCGGCTTATTCAGAATTAAATAAGGCTGCGTTCAAAGGGACTTACCTCCAAAGAAAGACTAACAGATTTATTGTGGCAGGAATTTTGACAAGCTGGAGTCCACTTTGTCAGATGCCTCTGATGAAGTGAGATCCAACCTACAAAAGCCTACAGAACAACAGATTTCTTAGCCTTTTAAATCACTTGTGTCTTTCCCTTTTCAAGTATCATTAAGACAGCCGTCCTCAACTTAGTGCTCTCCAAATGTTTTGCACAAATGTAGGCATATTCAGCCAATACCACAGGCTGGAAATCTGGAATCTTGTAATCTCAACATAACAGAAGAACACCCGTTTGGAGCATTATGCATTATGCTGTAATTGCCACTGGGCTGAAAACAGATATAAAATCAGCAAAATAAATCTTGCTTGATCACATCAATTTTTGTTTTGGCTGAAGCGAACAGCAGATAAATAGGATTTTCTTTTGATTTCCCAAAAATCTATTCCTTGGGGGGGCATCTTTCTGAAAAAAAGAAGTCAATCTTTTTCAAAACCGTTTAAGAGTGGCACCAGCTACTATATGTTATTTTTTGGCATATTCATCACCTCTAGGGTGAAACAATGTTACTACCTGTATTTTGATAGATTCTTTATCTAATACTATCCACAACCATTTGGTGACTTAAAAGGTAGCATTGCAGCATGGAAATTTCTAGAACAGCAGGCAAGCCAATCTCTTACTGTATACATGCTCAAGCTTTGCACAGATGTTGCACTTTTCTGTTCTTTTTCAAAGCCTCTTCACCTCACTTTTCATTCTCCTCAGCTTTTAGGCAATATATACATATATATTTATAAACCGAGGGCCATCACTCAGCAAAGCAGGTTCTAGTGCACACAAGAATTTTCTGATGTTATACATTTGGCAATTTTTAAGATGCTATAAAATCCACTTGTGTGTTTGTGTGTAGATCCACCCATCTAGATTGGAATGTGTGCCATCTGAGCTCTGCACAGAAATGTCGCAAACAAGCCTCTTTTGGTCCTACCGTCAAAAATGAATGAAAATTTTATATATATATTGCAGCTAATCATAGCAAGGAGTGGAGAGTGGGCTATTTTGAGGTTTATTGCTCTTTAATATGGAGGACTGTTTAAATCATCTAGTTAAACAGTTCTTTTACAAGCCTATTTCTGTATATTCCAGATTAGCTTAACCCCCTTTTCAATCCTCACTATTTTTGCTATGGATATGCAACTGCTACTCAAAAGATTTTTGGGTCCACGCTTCGAGTGTCAACAGCCCCAGCTGTAATGGTCAACAGAAGAATCTCTGAAATTGTAAATAATGAGAGCAGGCTAGCTTGCCCAGAGTCGCGATGGATGGTGACATGGGTGAGATATGAATAAATAAAATAATAAATATAATGAGCAGGAGAACGAATGCTTCAACCACAGCTGTGTTACAGGTCTAAGAAGATAGCACAACCGGTCAGGCTTACCCAAGGCAAGAAACCACCCAAGGGGAACAAACTGGATTCCTCCTTGGGTTCAAACCTGCCTCCATCCCCACCCCAAGCAACCAGCCTAGCATCTGTCAACCCAACCTTAAACTCACCCATTTGTTCCTCCATATATACACATGCATCAGTCCTGTATCAACATGGATTCTCTATAGTTAGTGCAGTGTTGGTGCGGTGTCGGGGGTTTTCAGCTCAATGTGTGGAGGGTGAAGGATGTGTGTTTCTGTTTATTTTCATGGTCATGATGTGCATAGGGGGTGTGTATAAGTGCACCAAAGTGCCTACTGTCCCTGTCCTATTGTTTCTTTTATTTGTCTTCTTTGTACTCATTTCTCGTATTCATAACTATGTTTATCCTTATATCTATTATCTTGTAAGCGATTGACAAATCAAATCAAATCAATAAATAAATGAATGGTGTTTGGTTTCGTTGTACGAGGTGCAATGACAATAAACTAAAGTAAACTAGGAGATCTAGAGCAGACCATCTCATCTTTTGTCAGCCAAATCTTGCACAAACTGGAGGCTTTCAAGAAGAGATCGGACTGCCATTTGTCAGAAATGGTGTAGGGTCTCCCGCTTGGGCGGGTGTGTGTGTGTTGGACTAGATGACCTACAAGATCCCTTCCAACTCTGTGAATCTAATCTAATCTAATCCCTGGCAAGCCTCTGCATTCCAAAAACCACCTCACCTTCCCCTTTGTAAAAAAAAAAGGAAACTCCCCACGTGTTTGGACTACTAGGGAGCCTGTCAGTTTGTAGAATAAGCGTCCATGTTTGGGCCCAGATGTCCCTTTAGGGGCCCTGGAGCTGCTTTGAGGATGGGTGGACTTCAACTCCCAGAATCCCCCTTGGGAGTGGAAGCCCACCCCTGGCGTTGCGTCATTTCACCCCCCCCCCCCATTCCTATGCGAAGGATTCCCTATTACCCCTCCCTACCCGATACGAAGCGCGGCCATGGGAGGGGAGAATGGGCTTGGGAGTACTTCCTCTCCTCTTCTCCCTTCCCTCCCAACAGCACCTCCCCCCCCCGCCTTTGCCAGTCCGGCGTGCCCGCTCCCCCGCCTCCTCCTCGACCAATAGGGCTTCGAGGGCCAGAGAAGGACAAGCGGCGCAGCCAATAGCGTGCGGCCGGCGCTCGGGTGCGCCAATGGAAGCGTCTGGAAGGAAGATGAGGAGGAGGGCTGCTCTCCCTTTTACGTACCTGAAGAACAGAGTCCGGTACATCTGGTGAGCCTCGTAGTAGTCTCCCTTCTCCACGCTGGCGCGGAGTTTCCCCTCAACGCGCTGGACGCCTCCCCGGTTGCGGCCGCTGTTGCCACTGTTGCCGCCGCCGCCCTTCAAGGCCTCCTGCTCCGCCGCCATGACTGCGGGGCGGGGAGAAAAAAAACGCCGAGGCGACCCTGACCGGAGCTACCTCACGCGACGTCACGCACGCACGCCAGCTTCCGGCGCCGCCCACTTAACAATGGGGCGACGGCGGCCGGCGAGGGACCGAGGCGTGTGGCGCGCCGCTCTCGCGGGAGGGAGGGGAAGAGGAGTGACGTCACGTGACCTCCATCTGCGGGCGAGCCGCGCGGAGGCGGTCCCTGCTGGCGTCTCCTAGGTGACGCCGTCAAGGATGCAGCTTCTTCTGGACCAGAGCATCCTTCAGGCCGGGGGTGGGTGGGTGGGTGGGGGGTCGGTTCTTGCAAGGCCGACCCAGGTGAATTTCTTTCAGCAAGCCTGTTGGGTTTTGAGGGATGCTTGGGGAAGACCAACTTCTTCTGGAACAAGGGTTGAAGGTGGGAAAAGAGGACAAGCCCTCCATCTTTCCAGGGCCCACAGATGTGGTCCTCTAAAGCCCATCTAGGATTTGGGAAAGAGAGCGCTGCGAGGGCAAGCCGCCAACGTGGGGTTTCAGCCCCAACCAGTCTGGGTGTTGCCTAGTCAAGCCACTTTAACCACGCCGAATCATGGAGAAGAGACCTACTTACGGCAACTGTTGAAAGCAAACCAAGGGATGTTTCATACTCTTGCGTGAGGACGGAAACAGGCAGGCAGCCAAGGTCTCTGGATGCCCCAGTAAACTGGTTCCAGTTCTATTAGTTAGGGACGATTTTCTGAAGGTGACTTATGACTTCTAAAGGTTTCTGTTTCTCAGAGAAAGAGGGGTGAGGCAGCCAGCTTGATTTGCAAGTCTGATTTGCACCCATATGCATACTGTGTCAAGGATCTCTTTCATTTCTACCTTGTTTTTAAGGAAAAACAATCTTTCCTTGGGCAGTTCTGACTTGTCATTCCAAAAGCAGGAAAGGCAATACTGAAATATCAGCTTTGGATGTCCTCTACTGTTCTCTTTCTTGACGATACTAACCATATGGAAATCAGAAATAATGGATGTACTGTTACACTTGAATATTTCGACACAGTTCCCTTACATGCATTCTTTTCATGCAGATTTCTGTATAACAGAAACAGAATAAGGGTTCTATTTTTGGTTTTGGCCACTCCCTATATTTGCTAATCCTTTTAAGGAGCCTGATCCCTCTCCAACCACACATATTACGAGAAGCATTCAGTATAAATATCCAAAAGGAAACTTTATTCTTATTTCCAAATATTACATGCACTTTCAAAAATTAAAATTCTTAAACTTTTTTTCGATAGCTTCTGGTCAGTTAGGAGGCAGCAAAGGACACCAGAGACAAATATTTTGAAAAAGCATTTACAAAAATACATTGCACAAAGTCCTATCTCATTTTTTAAAAAATAAGTTAGTGTTATGCAAAACAAACAAACAAACCCTGCCCTCCCCCTATCTGGATTTATACAGGATAATTTGGAATCATTTTCTTAAAACTGTTAACAGGTTTTACTAAGCTTTTCTCAATAGCCGCTGGTTCTACTGTAAGCTAAACTCAGCTGAACAAGTGGTATTCAAGAATAAAACTTGCTTTTATAAATATTTGAGGACTCTTGTGCAACATATGGAAAAATTAAAAAAAATAATCAGCACGTCTTTTTTCTGAAATCAAAGTTTACTTTCCAAAAATCCAGGACTCAAAGTACCATTTTCATAGAGGGGAGGGTGGGGAAAGCTTTTTCTGAGCCAGATCCTGACATTTCAAAATTAAATTTAAAAAAAGGAAGCTGAATTGCCAGGGATTCTGTTCAGTGACTTTAAGGGAAATTCCCCATAGAATCTAACAATAGCTCCAGGTGCCATCCTGAACTTGATGGCCCATTTTTATTATGTGCATATGCATGCTTTAAAAAAAAAAAGTGAATATACAGATCCTTTTTTCTGTTTTTGGAGAACCGATTCAAAACGGCGCCTTTTGTGCTATTCCGTATATTCAGCCTTGTGAAGTTTCCCCTGAATTTTCAGAGATTAGCAGCAATCCCAAAGGACAGAGAGAACTCTGAGAAGGGTAAACTGCACAAAACCCAAATGTGAATAAGCTCCAGGCCTGAATTTTACTGGCAAACTACTTTCTTTGACGTTTAGTGTTCCTGCTTTAATCTACACCTGACTTCATCTCTACATTTTCTTTTCATTATCTCCCATCACATGGTAGCCAACTGCTATTATAGATCTAATTCATCCAAACCGTTCTCAATGTAACAACGTCCTTAATCCACCTGCCTCGCTCAGTGCTAACACATGGGGATATTTTGCCTTCAGCACTTACCAATTCACTCTATCCCTATTTCTTACTAGAACCCATCAAATTAGATTCAAGCCCTTTCTATGTTAAACAATCACTACTGATATTCATTTGGATATTAAAACAAAGGATATTTTTTGTTTACTAATATATATTTAAGGGAAAAACCTGGAAGATGAACATAAAAGCAAACCGGTTGAAGTCAGAATCTTCAACATAAGAATTAAATGTTGCATGGAAATGACTGGAACTGATGAAATAGCTTCAAGGATGAGCTGCTAAGCAGTTTCGCCAAGCAAAACTCTGTGCAGTGGTAACAGATCTTAGTTTCAAGGCTTGTGCTGGAATTGCAAACAAACCTTCATCTGATTGGGAACTGCATAAACAACAGAACGTGCTAAATTTCATCAACTGTCCTTATCTTAATCATATCCAGGTGCAAAGGAGAGTCCCAATATTAAAAAAAACTGATTCCTAATGGTCAAAAGGAAAAATTTAAAAGCTTTATCTTCTGACTTATTAAAAGAGGGGTTAGTGATTTGCTAATTGGGCTTAGGAATGAGAACAGTTGGCATGCAGGTTTTTTCCCCTCCTTCAAAAAGAACACATCAAAAATATAAAGCTGTCTGGCAGTTACAAGCTGAGCATCTTGAGCAAATAACCATTAGGTTTGGGGTACAATTTTGTTGGCAGTCTTCTACGTTTAGCCAGGAAAGAGTAACACAACCTGTTGGACATCACACACCTTCATCTTTTAAAGATTCCAGTGTTCAAAATTTCCCTTTATAAACTTAAAAACAGAAATGGTGTATAACCAGAGTAGGAAAATAAGCGTAGCATTCATTCAGCAGTTCGCCCATGCACTCTAAAGCGATAGAGGCACGTATATTCTGCATGGCCCCAGTTGGAAAATATTCTTAGTTCCACTATTTGGAATGCTTTTTCGGTTGTCTCCTAAAAGGAGGAAAAAAAAAACATTTATTAGAATCCACTAGAGGGAATCCTGTTTTATGACCACCATCGAGCCCAAAATTTATGTTGCTAAATGAGACAATCGTTAAGTGAGTTTTGCCCCATTTTACGACCGTTCTTGCCATAGTTAAGTGAATCATTGCAGTTGTTAAGTTGCTAAGAGACTCTTGGCTTGATTTGTCGGAAGGTCATAAAAGGGGAATCACGTGACCCTGGGACACCATCATAAATATGAGCCAGTTGCCAAGGGCCCGAATTTTGATCATGTGACCAGGGGGAGGCTGCAGTGGTTGCAAGCATGAAAAACGTTGATGAGCCACTTTTTTTCAGTGCTGTTGTTAACATCAAATGGTCACTAAACGAACTGTTTTTAAGTCAAGGACGAACATCTACTATTTTCATGCTAGAGGTTTTTTATGCAAAGCATTAAAAAAAAGGAGTTTCATCTTCTGAAATGTTGACCTACCGAGACTGGAAACATCTGTAATGGTTCTCCATCCTGATCGTATGTATACTGGCCCAGAAGTATTCCCTCTTCTTGATACTCATTTTCAAGACCCTGTCAATACAGATACAGATAATCAAGAGTTGGAAGGGACCGTATAGGTCATCTAGTCCAACCCCCCGCCCAAGCGGGAGACCCTACACTATTTCTGACAAATGGCAATCCAATCTGTTCTTGAAGGTCTCAAGTGATGGCGCTCCCACAACTTCTGAAGGCAAGCTGTTCCATTGGTTGATTGTTCTCACTGTCAGATACAAATGGTTTGCGTAGCTCTGAATTCTTGATAAAGAAGATGAGCAGATCGATTTTAATTTTCAGACTCGCTGGCCTTCAAAAAAGATGATTATTTATTTACTTTTATTGATTAAATGTCTATGCTGCCCATCTCACTTAAACCTTTCACACACTTTTGCATCCCTGGCCTCAGGTGAACAATCATTTCCACATCTGTAGAGTTCCAACTAGCTACTTTATTGTTCTATGCCTATTTCACAGGAATCTTCTCAGACTGGCAGCCTTCACGGGGGAAAGACTCGATAAGGCTCAAAGGCATTTGAGGTTTGTGTGTGTGTCAGACCTTGCCCTCTTACATTTACATAGAGAGACAGTAATTCCTTGCCAGGGGTGTGATTCAACCGGTGTAACAACTGGCTCGGTGAGTGTGCCAAACGCATACTTTGTGTGCGCGCAGAGAGTTTGTTACTGACCTAATCCTGCAATCTCCCTGTGTGTTAAACAGCTGATGCGCAGCAACTTGCTGGGCCGCGCGAAGCAGCTGAGCTTGAAAACCAGGAAATAAAGGTCAGAATAGAGCTGGGGCAAGTGGGTGGGCCCAACAGCTGATCGTCGGAGCCAACAGGTTAGTTCACAGATGATCCCTGGAGTTACTGGTTTGGTTGAACTAGGCCGAATTGGTAGAATCTCACCCGTTCCTTGCTTGAGCCTTCCTAACTGGGAGGACTGGATGGTTCTCCAACACCTACCCCTTTAGAAAAGACTTTAATTTCTAGCTCTCCTACTCTCTGCAACTGGTGCTTGTTTAAATTCTCTTTATACCTGTTTTCTTATTTAGATCAATCTGCCACATAAGCCTGAACTCTTCCAGCAATTAACTAAGGGCTGACCTAACCTGGGAAAGATTCTTTTTTAAAAAAAAAAAATGTACAGCTATTAGAAATCCTTTTAATCATTACTAGAAACCCTGAAGCGGCATTAGCTGAACCTAAGACAATATTCCTTTCATTTTCACCACTTACGTATACTAAGAAATCCTTTGGCGCGCTGGTAATATTGCCTGTGGGTGAAAGCGATTTTGGAATGT